GTGGTGCTGAAGCATGAAATCTGAATCTACAAGACTGTTTGTTTTTGTAAATTGACAAACGTCTGCGGTCTGAAATATGAATCAATAGTTTGTTTTTGTAAAATCAGGTGCAAACATAAAATTTTACTGAACCTGTAATAAGTAATAAGTGGTGTTAATGTAAGTATTTACAAGTTCAATTTGTGTAATTTTAATCCGTTAATTGTATCATTAATAAAAGGCTAAAAGTTATGCATATGGTTATATAATCCAATGTAATTATGACAAAACCTTTTGCCGGGAAACCATTATGGGTTAATCATATACTGAAACGTACAAGAAGGTCACTTGTTTCTTCTCTCTTTAACACCATTACAATAACTAAAAGCAAAATATTGATGAGTCAAATTATGCTTTCATTCATTTTCAATGCCATTTTATATTCAAACTCAAAGATTCAATAAATATATATATATATATATATACTAGAACTTTACTCGCGCAATACAACGAGATACATCGTGATTTTAATATTTCATTTTATTCTTTATCGCAGTCAATGTTATAATATGGCTTTACGTGATTTTGAGAAAGCGATGATGTTTTTATTTTTGAATAAAATATATGTTTGAAGATATCATAAAAATTTGACAAAAATATATCGATATTAGTATCAAATTAACTATTTAAAATTCCTTATTTTTTGTGTAATTTTTTAATTCAATTTTTTTATAATTTAATTTATGTACAATAACGAAGTAATTTTTTCTCAAAATCACGTAAAACCATATTATAACATCGACTGCGATAAAGAATAAAATGAAATATTAAAATCACGATGTATCTCACTGCATTGTGCGAATACGCTTCTAGTATGTATATATATATATATATATATATATATATATATATAAGTGAGAAACGTAAGAAATGATATGAATCATTGATCACCTTTAATCTCAAACTCACTCATATATTATGCATTGATACGAGGATTGATCCAATACATCTTGATGTATGTCATCCTAATATTCATCTAAGGGTGGAGATCCCTTCTCACCTTAATTCTTCTCATCGGAATCCAACCATATATATATATATATATACACACACACACACACACTTAATAAATAAGTAACTTTAGAAACACGTATCATCTTCTGGTGAGTCGGTTATCTTATTTTCCCGCCTAAACGTGTATCCAGACACAGTTAAATTAGTGGTTCAAAGAGGCCTATTTGGTTGACATCTGTCCCTCTAAAAATGTATCTTTTTTTATCGTGGTTTAACTGATTTTCCTACTAAACAGGATTTAGTTCAGACTAATTTCCTTCAGCTAATCTGACAGCTTATCACTGACAGCCTTCAGCTAATCTGACAGTTTATTGTTGACAACCTTCAACTAATCTGACAGGTTATTGCTGACAGCCTTCAGCTTGTGTTTTCAGCTTATCATGACAATTTTCAGCTATCACATAAGAGGCACCTTTCAACTATCACTTGCTGATATTGTTAAGGAGTTCTGTAAGATGAGTTTTGTTGGCTAGCATGCCGTCTATAAAAAGTTTTTTTTTTGCCAAAAATATGCTTATATTTGTTCAAAATAGCACATTTAATTTTATTCTAGGGTTAACTTCATTTTAATTAATTATTGATATAATTTCATTTCTAAATTCAAGTTTAAAAAGTCATTCTTCAGAGTTATTTTAAGAGTACAAGTCTGAAGTAGCATCGTACTTTCGATAATCATTCATATCTGTAAGATAAGTTCCTAATATGATTTAATTTTTTTCAAATTGCCCCGTGTAATACACGGGATCGAACCTATATATGTATGTATGTATGTATGTATGTATGTATGTATGTATGTATGTATGTACGTATGTATGTACGTATGTACGTATGTACGTATGTACGTATGTACGTATGTATGTATGTATGTATATAAAATATGTAATAGTACATTTAAAAAGCTACTACTTGCTCAAGAAGTCGCGTCTTGAAAGAGAATGTTTTGGATAAAATTATGGATTAAAGAAATGGAAGATATACGATTAAAGTTGATTTATTTTATTTAATAATAAAGGCAATGAAAAGGAACAAAACGAAGGACCGAAAGTAGCTTCCAATTCGGCCCCTCACCTCACCCCAAAAGGTGGCAATGATCGTGGTCATGGTCATGGCAACCCAAACCAATCTAATTAATTAATTTGAATTTTAAATTATTGATGATAAGAAATTAAATTGCTAATATTAGTATTAAACATGGGAATAAACTTGTTTGATCAGCTATTATATATGATTTGGTTTAAATAAAACAGTGTCACACTAAGAAAACACTGAAAAACTTATATTATATGTGTTTTAGAATCAAATCTACTGTGATCAAGGAATATGGTTAATCCGCGGTAAAATGGTAAAAAAAAGAAGTTAAAAAGTGGCGACACGAGTTCTAGATGACACGTGAGTGTTGCATCTCGATGCCATGGTGACACATTTCTTGTAGAAGTCTTGAATTTTGAATTTGTATGGGGTATTCAAAAGTCTAAAATAGATAGAAACACTACATTCTTACAAAAAATATTGAATTTATATGTCACAGATTACTATTAAAAGACTAATATAAAATATCTGCGTGTTTTTATTTTTATTTTTTTCTATACGTTATATTAGTTACAGATGCGTTAAATTATGTATCCAATACCAATATCGACAACCCATTGCTTTAACAGAAGAAAGAAAAGTGTTGACACCCATGACTCATGCGTATATAAATGTATACTTATCGAAATAAAATACTACTGAAAGTTAAATAACGATAAAATCAATTTGTCCACCTTTTAAAGATTTTAGATAAATGGGAATGGGGTAGGCACAAAATTATATGGATTAAGACCCAATAATAATAGAAAATAACCAAGTAAATGTTGAACTCATGAATTGAGGGAAGGGGGCACACAGAAATAGTTTATGAATAATAGTAGCCCAATTAAACAACTAAAATGGGCCATTAGAAGTATTTAGCTAGCCCATTAGAAGCCCATTGCGGCCCAACTTCTTACTGGACATTCGGGTCACTTCTGCCCCGTACTGAAACCCCATATTTAACCCGGGTTGTTACCTAGATCGCGCTTTCTCAAACTTTTTTCCCGTATTTTAATCTAATTATCGTGTATTTAGGCCTGTTTATTGGTTGACATCCATCGGATGTGAGGGTAACGTAATCGATTCAATTATTAATTGGATGTTGGATTTTTCCAACCTATCCGATCCCAATGGGTTTCGATTGATCTCGACGTATTTTTTATTAGTCTCGATGGATTCCCGATCCATCTCGATAGAAGCTGAAAGTGGTAGCCTATATATGGTTTTACACACACGAACAAATAATAAATGAATCGATAGATTCTCGATGGAAAATGAAGGTGATAGGTTCTGGTTTAACACACATAAACATATACTAAGTCAATGAATGGATTCTCGACCTTTCTCGATCAGTCTCGATGGGTTCTCGATGGGTTCTCGATAGGTTCTCGCTTTGTCTCGATAGGCTATTGATCGGTCTCGAAAAGTGTTGGGCTATGGTGATGAAGAACGCAATGCCTTATAACGCTGAAGAAAGTGTTGAAAAATATGATGTTGAGTTACAAACTTACGGTGACGAGCTGTTGTACACATTTGAACGTACATAAATATTCATAATGAATATAACACATATATACATTTCACGTACAAAAACGGTTAAAATGGGAAGAAAAAAAAAACTATATCGAAATGGCTGTCATATCGAAGGGAATGAAATCCTCGTTTTTTTGATGTAATTTGTTTGATTAAAATATTAATAATCTTTAAGATAATTTTCTTTTAAACTTTAAGGAGGTAAAAGTTTTTAATTAAAAAAAAGTCAAATAAGGTAGGCATTGATTGAATTAACTTCTTTTTTTACCCTTAATCATCTTGATAATAAATTTAACATGAGTTGTTGGATCAAGTAACATGAAAGACCAATATTGGTCATCTTGTTCACATTTAAAATGAGTTTGTAAATGAACTTTTTTTTTCCTCTCTCTCTCTCTCTATATATATATATATAGAGAGAGAGAGAGAGAGAGAGAAGGGTTCAGTGGAATCCGCGAAAATATGAAAAACTGAGTAACATTCTGGTAACCATTCATCTGGAAGGTATACACATATGCATACAAGTAATCGAAACTGTTTTTTGGTTTTATGCACGTGTGCATGTTATGCATGTGTGTACGTTGGACAAATTGCTTTTAAATTACTTGTATGCACATGTACATACCATTTAGATGAACGAATACCATGATTTCACTCGGGATATATTTATTCTGATTTGATTTTTCTTTATTTATATATCTGGTGTTGGCTCACCATGCTTATGTTTATATAAATATGAACATGAGTTTTTTTTTCTCGATGCTTTTATCATAAATTTATGGTATGAAAAATAAGTGTGAAGTTCAGGTTATGTATAGATAATGTAGGTGTAGTTGAAATCTTATTATTCTTATCGTCCTTGACTTCGAATCTAGGTGCTGCAAAAATTCTTGTGACCATCAAAGTTCACCTACGACGATAACTTCAGGCCATTCGCAGTTGGAGTTTAGGGTTTAGGGTCTTAGAGATCAGTCGCTGCATGCAAGTTAGCCTGAATAACGACAATAACCCAATTTTTGTGAATTACAAACAAACCATTAAAATTGATTTCAAATCCAACGGTTAATTCTATTTTGTATTTGAATTAAAAGGGAACCGGTTCCACTTGAATTGAACAGGAGCAATTGGCCTACCCCACTTTCTTGCTCAAATCAATCTCATCCAAACACAATCCTGCCGTCTTCATCAACATCAAGTTCCCCTTTTCATCATCATAATCCACTTCTATTGATATACAAAATATGATTATAATTCCATTTGAGTACTCAATTTGTATTTTCTATATCATTACCCCACTATTAATTATAAAGAAAACCAGCCAACGAATCCTCTAATTCTTTGCAATGGGGAACAGTTTTACAGGTGGTGGTGGTGGTGGTTGTGGAAGGAAGAAGAAGGCCAAAGTAATGAAGATTGACGGCGAAATCTTTAAACTGAAAACACCCATACAAGTGTTTGAAGTCATCAAGGATTACGCCGGCTATGTTGTTCTGGAATCCAAAGCTGTTAAACGATATGGGATCAGAGCTAATCCGTTAGACCCTGAAGAATTTTTGGAAGCCGGGAAGATTTATTTTCTGGTGGAGTTGCCAAAGCCGCCGGTGGAGAAGAAGGTGGTGCCGGTGACTAGAAGGGTGCAGTCTGGGGTGAAATTGACGGCGAAGGAGAGGTTGGATTGTTTGATGATGTCTCGGAGATCTGCGTCGGAGGTTGCGTTTGGTGGTGGTGGGTTGGGTGGGTCTGGTTCTGTTAGGGTTAAGGTAAGGTTGCCGAAGGCGGAGGTGGATAAGTTGATCGGAGAAAGTAGGGATGAGGTGGAGGTGGCGGAGAGGATTGTTGATCTTTATGTGCAGAAGAAGGCCGGTGGCCGGCGGTTGGGTAGGATTTAGGAAGGACATGACGGTTGTCTAAGGGTTTCTTCTGGTTGTGTTAAGTTACTATTTTTGGAATGTAAATAAAATTAGGAATTTTATGCGAATTAATTGTTGCTACGATTAAATATATATCATATTCACGTGGTTTGTAATTTAAGTATTTATTTTAGTCATTTTTAAACAACGACCACATCAATAAAAATTCGTTTTATAGTAATATTTCGTGTTTAAAATGTGTAAAATAAAATAAAATCAAACGGTTAAAAATGTAGTAAAGATTTAGCAACGAGCTATCTCATAATTGGGGTTGTCGTAACAATTTATTGGTCAGGAAAAATCATCCTTCATTTTGAGTCTTATTTTCTCATATGTAAGTTTGTGTTTTCAATTGGCTTTCTAAAAGATTACTAAAGGGATCTATATAGTATTTGTCGTGGGTCGATAATCTAAACAGTTAACCTGAGGTATCGCTCAATGCAACCTCTTCGAGAGTTGTTTTCAATAAGCAATCCTAAACACCCTCTTAATTTTGTTATCTAATATGTAAAGAGTTAGGAAGAAAGAATACACGACAAAAAATGATTCATGTTATAAATAAAAATAGATATAAAAATACCGAGTATGATTTCAAAACTCATCGACATCCAATTTTCTATAATTATAGTATTTGACTTGTAATATTGGGCTAATTTCAAACCTTATAAATTGGATTGGATTAATATTTCAATGGGCCAAACTTGCACTAATAGGCCCAAGAGATTGAGCCCCTTTGGGGTGGGGACTCCAATCTATGTTCCTATTTTTGTTCTCAATGGAGAATATGATCATATCCTCATCTTTGTTTTCAGTGAGAAATGACGATCCCCAATGAAGTGAGAGGATTGTTGACCCCATCGAGTCGGGTACACCAGATTCCCCAATGGAGTGAGTCTTATTCTCATACCTACTACGGCTTATTCTCGTAAATCTCCGGTTTGAGTTCTATAAAGTCACCAAAATTTCTCTTGGTTCCAGAAAAATAACATTATAAAAGTTATGTGGTGGTGTGTGTGAGGTGTGGGCGGTGGTGATATTGTGGTAAATGTCACACTAAAAGAGTAATTCATAAATTCTCTGAAAACTATCATCAAATTCTAAATGTGCAACCCTCCTAATAAGATACTCTAACTAGCTCAGTTAATAGACCTTGACGATAACATTTTTAGCATTATGTACTCTATAACGGAAAACAAGAGGGCACGAATCCCCGTCGTCACCGCTCCTAATCGTACCTCATTTAGGGCTAAGACTTTCATCTTTTTTTTTTGTTTTTTTTTTTTTGTAAGGGTGTCCGGGCCAAAGCCCGACTAATCCCCGACAAATTTGGAGGCTAAACATGGCCCCACTTAAATGTCGTCAACACTCCTCTCCCAGGGCTCGAACTTGGGTTCATGACTATGTCATGCCCAAGCCTTTACCACTAGGCTGGAAGGTCTTTGATAGAAACATTTCGAAAAATATATATGACAAGATCGAAGTTAACCAAAAATGCTTTCCTCGTTTAAATTTCAGCAAAATGAAGATCAAAAACTGAAATACGATATGCAAGAAAAAGATAAATTGACCTTCTCTTTCTTTTCATACGGTTCTGAAACCAAAAGGAATCACAAACTGGACTGCACTTTTTCTTGGAACATTGTGGAAAAGGAATGTAAGCGTGAATCTAACGTCAGTCTCTCTTTACTTATACAACTGTAAAACGAAAGAGATTTGAAACAAAAACCTCCATTTGAAGAATAAGATGAGCTTATCACAAACAGCACAACACACATAAGGAATAATAATAATGCAAAGGAAAAAGAAGGTTCTTTTGGGTATGATGAGCATATAAGAAAGTGATGTTAGCCTTTGTTCATCACTTCTTTACAAAGGGTATATGATTCCCCTTTTAATTGCTTCTTTCTCAACCATTACCTTCTTGTAACTTCACTTTTCTTGGGCTTCACAATGGAGATTGGGTTTTTTATTAACATGGATATCCAACTTGTTATGTGAGCCGACTAATCCAGAATGACCACCTGTTTTGCAGATAGCCTGGAGTCACCGCATTTGAACCTCCGTGACCACAAGGGGATTTTTATTCCTCTTTATATTTGAAACTGAGACTTCCTGGTAGTTTTGATATTTAGAACCAAGCTCAAACCGCTATGGAGATTGGGTTTTTTACTCGTAGGGGTTTTTATTTCAGTCATTCAAACTTAAAATGAGCTTTCGGTTAATAAGTGTTATGTTTTTGTGGGTCGTATTTATGAGTACAAAATAAGCAAAGAAAAAAGTATCGAAAACATTGATGTATTTTTATCATAAAATATTGTGCTTAAAGTCTTAGATATTGTTGTTATTTTAGTAAACGTTTGGATGAACATAGAAGCTAACTTATTAAAATGCTAGTTGGAGTAGTGTTTCCAAAGATTTTTGACACCATTCCCAATTATAACCCTGATCATTAGCATTACTTATATTTTTAGAGTTAGAACAAATTAAAAATAATGATTATTATTTTGTTAAAAAATATTAAATTAATTATCTTTTTAAGTTTAAAATAATTTAAAAGTAACTTATTACTATTCTATTAAAATTGTATTAATATAATTATATTTTTAAGGTTAATTATGATCATTATTTTATTAAGATTCTATTAATTTAACTATATTTTGAAGGTCAAAACAAATAAAAAGATAATCTGATTATAATTTGAGAAAATTTCAGAAAAATCCAATAGAGTTTCATATTTTGAGTGACTAAGTTATTGGACAATTTTTTTTTAAAGAAATAAACACTTGGAAGAACGATTATAGTGATTTAATTTTTTAATTAATTAAGATATATAAGGTTGACAAAGTTTTATATATACATATATATATATATATAATAAATCAAATTAAAATCGATTAATTAATATATTTTATTACTTTATTAGGGTTTAAGCTGTAAATCCCATTTTTTTTATT